TATATATATATATATATATATATATATATATATATATATATATATATGGCAACCATGAAGCTGAGCCCAGGATCCCCACTGCAAACTTTGCAGCAGAGAAGAATGGTTTAAAATCACTAACGCAAACTGATGAAGCTCATGTTTCCTGTTTTCTGCTTCTCAAGACTCCTGTGGGGACTCGCTGGGATAACAGGTGAAGATATTTACAAATCTATATACATCATCAAGTAAACATAGCATGACTGTGTGTCACTGAGAAAGCCTGTTAATTCATTCAGAGCCCCAGCCTGGCTTCGCAGAGAACCACTGTGTGTGTTTAAAAAACATTTTGATGTCGTTACTAAAGTTTAACCCTTAGTGGTCAGGCAGGTAGAACTCAAGAGTGTCATGTAAGTGGAAGGACAGAGATTTCACTGCTTGTTTATCAGGTGGAAAGGAAGTTCAAGGTTTAATTCTCCTTTCAATTGAAGTACCCACAGTGAATGTCTCTCTCGGTTTAGGAACGGTTGACACCCCATCCCTGCAAGAAAGAATACAAGCCAGAGATCATCCCAAAGAGGTATGTATGTATATAGATCTAGCAGTTTGAATATGTGCAAACCTTTTGGCTAAAATTAAAAAAAAAAAAAAAAAAACTTAAATGTCCCATTCTTTAGAGTAGATAGATTCGTAGAGACAGGAAGTAAAGAGGTGGCTGCCACGGCCTGGGGAGGGGTGAGTCGCTGCTTGATAGATGGAGACTGTCCTCTTTGCAAGGTGACAGGCAGAAGGGAGTGTGTGCTGCTGGAAGCAGGCATTTGTGCACTTATGCTGAGCTGTGCGCTTCCAATGCTGAGACAGTAAATGGCTGTGAATACTTTGCTGTTGCTTTTCTGAGCTAAAGAGTCTTACATAGCCCAGATTGGCAGTGACTTGTATCCCTCCTTCCTCGGTCTCCCCGTGCTGGTATTACGCTCATGCACCAGCATTGTGTTTTGGGGTTTCTGAGACAGGAGTTCTCTGTGTGTAGCCCTGTCTGTCCTGGAATACACCCTGTAGACCAGGCTGGTCTCGAACTCACAGAGATCTGCCTGCCTTTGCCTCTCCGGTGCTGGAATTAATGTGTGGCAGCATCACCGCCATACCCAGCCATACCTAGTGGCTTTCTTTCCTATCACAGCATCCGTGGCTTTCAGCGTGTGGTTGTTTGGGTGACATAGGTGGAGATTTCACAGTCATTTCAGTGGATGGCCCCAGTCCCTCCATACATGCCTCTGGTTCTAAGCCCCTTGGCGGTGTTACGGGGGCACATATGTGCCAGCCCACATCTCCTACATGGAACTGTCTCTGCCCACAGGCACTGAAAGCTTTCCTAAACAGACAAAAGATAGGAAGGTTTGCGTCTGCGGAAGAAGTGGCCTTGCTCTGTGTGTACTTGGCCTCGGAGGAGGTAAGATCGGCTCTTCGCGTTTGTAATTCTGCCACACTGGGCTGCCACTTGCTCACCCGCATCACATTTTTGTGAGTCTGTGGTATATATTGCTAAAGTGCTGCATTTACACGACAGGGATAAGTTCTGGTCTCATTTACTCAGAAGCCACTATTATCTGTGACAGTGGCTCTTCCTCACTCAGTTACATGACTCAGCATCATGGCACAGATGAAGAAATTAAACAGCACCGCTTTCTGGGATTTTTGCTTTTTAACATTACAGCTGTGGACATCCTGGTTAGATATCAAAACCTCCTGGGCTAGCAAGACCATTCATGGTAAAGACCCTGTGCTGCCAAGCCTGATGACATATGTTCAGTCCCTGGCTCATACATGTGAATGGCGAGAACAGGCTCCCAAAAGTCTCTTGACCTCCACTAGAATGTCATGCTTCCTTTCTATGAGGAAGAATGGGGGAAAGAAAAAAAGTTTATGTTTCCACTCAACCCCAATTTTTTGGTTATCTGGAAATGTCTTTACAATAGACATTTCTATACAAATTGAAGATTGTCACTGAGGAAGCCCTCCTGAATCCTGAAGGTTAGGCCAGCGCGATTTTCATATGTAGAAGATTTAAAATAAACCAGGTCAGGTTTGTATTCGTAAAACTGTTGACATTAATGATGTCTTTCCATATCTTATCTGGGCTCAAGAAATACATTTTGTATTTTTCCAGATTCTCTGTAGCCTTAGAAAGATTTTTACAGTACATATGTCTTGACTGAGCGGTTCTTTCTTAATACAAAAAAACTTGTATAATTTTCTTAACTTGTACAGTTTGGTAAGCTTTTATGAGAGGAACTGGTATTCTGAGTCTGTCAGCTTTCATTTTATTTTGCTAAGATTTTTTTCTAAACAATTTTTAAATGTGTGCAGTTAACATGTTTCTTATGCAGGTGGTAAAAGCATTCATAAAGAATTATGAGCACTTTGCTCAAACTTCTACTTATGGACAAATAATTTGGGACTTCTGAGTTGCAAGCTTGCAAAAGTAAAAGTTTGTGTTTACTATAATTTTCAAAATTAATTTTGAAGCAAAACAAAGACTTAATGTCAGCTTAAGTATGTAAATGTATCATGCTGAACAGAATCCTGTTCGGTTACTCTCATGCGCTGTATGATTTCCCATTGTATTCATTAAGTCGGTGGAAAGGAAAGACCAGGTGATGTTGAAATACTGCCACATCCAAGGAGTAACTGTTGACAGGTAGCAATATTGATTTTTATGAGAAAATAATGGCTTTAAGAATTTTCAGACGTTTCCAGTTATAATCCAGTTTTTCAGATTTGATACTGTTTTTCCAAAATGAAACACATACAAAATAATCACTGTTCTTTGTGATTTTTTTTTTTTGAAAGGGTTATCTATGCACTAGCCTTGTAAGGATGGGGTGCCATTTTATTTTTAGTGCAAAATTCTTACAAAATGTAGTTTTATACAGATGATAGACCAATCTATCTCCAGACTCTTTTTTAGTAAATGATTATTAACTATCTTTTCTCACACAGGCACATCCCCAAATGCTGCTTTCAGTTTGTTCTCAGCCATCAGTTCAAGAGCCAATGCTTTTATAGACAGATCTGTGGTCCTTTTGTTGGCTCAGTTGTCTGGTGCAGGCTGGGTAAAGGCTTGCACTGAGAACGATTGTCCGGGCCTCACCCCTTAGAGTATTCTTATATCTATCCAGACTGCTTCCTTAACCAATGGGAATAACATTTTCTTTTCCCCAATCAGTATTGAAAGCCACCTTGACAACACACCATATAATATGCACTTACTGTTTTTGCAGAAATAATCCCAATAAGTAAATTTCAAATGCTGAAAAGCATGAGGGGTTGTTTGTTTGTTTGTTTTATTGAAATCATTAATTTATCCAGAATGGCAGTAGGTCAAGTAGCTTTAGCAGATGGTGACAATTTCTTCTCCCTGCCCAGCTCCACTCCCTACCCTCACACATTTTTTTCTCTCTCTCTTCTTTCCTTCCTTCCTTCCTTTTCCTTCCTTCCCTTTCTTTTCTCTTTTCTTTTCTTAAGACAAAGTCTCACTGTGTAGCCCAGGCTGGCCCGGAACTTAACAATCCTCCTCCCTCAGGCCTCTGATGCTGAGATTGGAGGTGTTTTCCACCATACCCAGTTACAATCTGTTTTCTAAAGCAGATTTTATTAAATGCTTCCAGACTGTCCTAGCTCTTTGTCACAGATGGTCTATAGGAATGTCTTAAAAGAGCAGTGATGTTGTGCTTTTTAATCATTGCAATATTGGAAGGGTCCTGTCCACCTTTTTTGGCTTTTCCAGACAGGGTTTCTCTATGTAACAGCCCTGGTTGTCTGGACACACTTTGTAGATCAGGCTGGCCTCGAACTCAACAGAGATCCACCTGCCTCGTGTCCATCTTTTTAAGGATGCGTCTGGTGTGCAAGTTTGTGGAGTTCTTGAAACTATTGTTATAGGTACATTTTAAGGAAATTCTCAGGCATGTTGGCAAATGTGCCAGCTATATAAATGTCAGTAAATCTTACTTTTCTTTTTAAAGTATGCATAATGGAACATTCCACCAATACATGATGCTCAGCTTTTCCCAAATACTTTACTGTGTTCTGTCTATACAGGTTATTTCCCCTTTGTTCTGAAATGCAACCACTGCAACTTGAGAAGTCATTGCACTATTTAAACATCTTGGCAATAGCATGAATCTACTTTGCTTAAGATTTAGTACATTTCATAACACGTAAGCTCCTAATACATTGAGGTGAGAAATGAAGCCTTCGTTGTGGGCAGGGGTTGTAGCTCAGCTGGTCGAATGCTTGCCTAACATGCATAATGCCCTGAGTTCCATCCGCTGTACCACATAAACTGGCTGTGGTGGCGCATGCCTGTAATCCCAGCACATGGGAGGTGGAGGCAGGAGGATCAGAAATTCAAGGCCCTCCTCAACTACCTACTGAGTTTGAGGCCACCCTGGGAAACCTGAGGCACGATCTCAAATAGAAAAGTCTCTGTGGGTAGTTATTTAGGCCCTAGCAAAGCACTGTCATTTTCACTTGGAATATATAATGTTTTGTGATGTATTCTCAGTAGGGTTCGGAATCTGCAACTCAACACCAATCTGTTGAGTTTTAAAATGTATCTCAAGTAATAATTTAAGTAGGCATTCAAAATTATGAATTAGATGTTTTTTTTTAAATTTCTGCATAGTTATTTTGCACTGTAAAATATGTCCTTTCTCCAATTTCCTTCTGTCATTCTGATGTACACATTAAAATGTTTTTGTAAACATAAAAAAAAGAATGTCATGTACTCATGCACATATACACACATATAATAAGTAACATGTGATTTAAAAAATCTTGGTTTCAAGAGTTGAGAAGGGCTGGAAGCAGGTTTAACAGCTTTCATTGCATTTGGGGGTAGACTAGGTATGCACCTCTTTAGTATACTAGTGACCTGTTTGGGAGGGTTCCATGATTTTTCCTGTTCTTGTTTGTCATCACGCGGAGAAATACCTAGTTCGCTCTCTTCGACTTTACAACTACTTAGTAACCAATGTTTTCCCCAGTGACTGGTGTGAACTCCATTGATAAAAGCGAAAACTCTCACAAGGTGCAGAGCATGAAAGCATCCTCTTCTGTGTCGAAGCCACAACGGACAAAAGCAACTATTCCAGCAGTGTTTAACTCGGGGTTTTTACCGGGGTTACTAACAGGAGTGTGGGCGAGGGGTTATTTAGAGGAGCGGAGATGACTCAAAAGCAGCGGCATCACAGAAAAGCCCGCCTCAGCCTGGGTGACCTCCTCCAGGAGTGTCCGCCTCTGTAAAGCTGGGACAGAGCCTTTGAGAATCAGGCCTGCTTTAGCTTCCCAGAGCCAGTGAGGTTTGTTGACCTCTGGGGTCCCCTCCACTGGCCCCAGGAGGGACGGTTGAGGGGCGGGGTTAATTACCTATTAGCTTCTCTTCACAGCAGCACGGTGTGCGGTGCAGCCCGCCTAGCTGGCGATGATGCCGGACACAAAGGACGAAGCGGCCTAGTTACCGCTCCTCAAGACTCTTAGAAATAGTTTCTAGGAACTGGGGAATTGCTAGGTATCTTATTCCTGAAGCAAGCACTTCTGTCAGTTTTCATGTATTTAACTTTAAAAAAAAATGTACTCATGCTATGATGTCTTTCCTTCTGCCTCTTTCAGTGATTCCAGCTTTAGATCAACGTCAAACTAAGGATACAATCATGAAGGACCATTACCCATTTTAAATAATAGACTTCTTTTTAATCTTTAATTCCTGGACAATTTCATACATCTATATAATATACGTTGGCCATATTTATCCCCTGTGACTCTCTCTTTCCCCCATCACTTTTGAGCTTTTTCTTCTCAACAGGTCTCCCTCTTACTTTCATTTCAATGTCTTTTTTTTTTTTTTTCTAAACTGACCCACTGAGTGTACTTAGGGCTGCTTTCAAGGGCGTGGGTGAGGGGTAATTTATTATGTGTGTGGACTGCCAGTGGCTACATCACTGAAGAAAAATGACTCCTTTCTCCCAGCAGCCATTAACTGCCAATAGCTTTTGTAGGTGGCATTTACTACTTTGTGGGCTCTTCTTTCTTCCACCCCTTTTCTTCTTCCCTTTCAACCCCTAACACTAGATAAGAGAGAAGAAAGGATAGAGAGGAAAGGAAAGAGATCCCTCAATAAAGACGGGGGTTGGAAAGGGGGCAACATTATCATTAGACTACTTCCTGCTGATTAAGGGGCAAGTTTGATCTTCACAATAATGATATCTAGTTTCTTCTCCTTGTTTCTTCTTTGTGCACAACTACTTAACACACCACAAACAACAATGAACCAACAACCCACACTGCCTCTCAAGGCCCTAGCATTTATATGCCCGCTGGAAGTCCCCAGAATTCAAATCCCCAAAACTATCTGCAGCTGGCAAAATCATGCCTGTGCTGGAGCATGAGGCAAATCATCGTCACCGGCTGAGAAGCAGCCTCATATCCCCACACCTGGGAACAAAACAAAACATATTCTTATAATATTTCTGTGTTTCCGGGATTATCACTACGAGCTCTTCTGCTAGGAGTGGGACTTTATGAGCCTCTCTCTTATCCATGATGGCGTGTTGATGGCCTCAGCCCGATAGCCACAGCTTCGGTGAATTCATGAGCTCAAGGACCTTGTCATGTCAAGAAGACAAGCTAAAATATTTTGAAACTTCTGCCACAACTTCAGAACTAGTTTTCTGCAAAATGGAAGTGTTTATAAACATAAGCCAGTAATTAATTTTAAACCCTTTACTGTTAAAAAGAATTGGGCATCTGAATCTAGTGTTGAGTATTATTGCCTATATAAAATTTAAAAATACATTGTGTGCACTTCTGTGAATTGGTCGACCAGTAAGCACTCTCTGCTTTCCCCATTGTTCACATAGCCACGCAATGATTGACACGGTTTTAAAAACTTTATTAGTGGTTTGAAAGTTAGCTAGCTTTGGATGGTTCTCAGTCTCAAAATGAAAATGTGCTGTTTTAGCATGTACTTTATGTCCCCTCTCCTTAATTTTGTGACCTGAAGCCAAGCACCAAACAGACCATCCACAGAATGTGACATGCTCATATGCCAGCCAAAGGCCATGGGCTCCAAGTCATGGGATGCTCAGCTGGTCCAAATCATCTAAACTTTCTTTCTTCTTTGTTTTTGTTTTTTTTTGTTTTCCCCTAAATTCAGTTAAAGTTTCTTGCTAGCATGAAAGTCAAAAGTTTTGTTATCCCAGTCATAAGAAATGTTCAAAATACACGCTGGTTCCCAAGTGATGGAATGTCCTGTGCTCTCACTGCAGTCGGCCTACGTAACAGGCAACCCTGTCATCATCGATGGAGGCTGGAGCCTGTGAAGGCAGAGACGCCCCGGTGGGAAGGCAGGCCCTCCCTATCCACAGAGAAAGGCAAACAGACTCGGCGATCATCTCTCCTGTGAATGACATTCACGAAAACAAGCCCCTTTTAGTGATTGTTCCCAAGAACGTGACTCATTTTTAAAATACAGTCCTTCTTGTCTCTTCTGAAACTATGGTAAATAAATCAAATAAGATGTATTGATCGTGTGGCAGAGGAGTAATTAAGATAAGCAAAGATTTCTGAGCTTTTGCTGGCATGGCAGATAACTATTGTGAAAAACTGTGGCTTTTTAAAAAATGGATGGACATTTGCTTCTTAGTGTAAAGGCTCAAAGGCTGGGTTGAGGTGCCGAGGGACAGTGTGGTAGTGTCTATTCACACAACAGATATTATATGAAAGAGGTTTATTGGATGGAGATGAAAAGAGGGAGAGAGAGAGAGACTGACAGACAGACATGGAGGGGAGAGGGGGGCACCCTGACAGAGAGAGCAGGAGCGGGGAAAAGAGCAAGCGAGCAAGGGAGGTAAGAGGCAGGGGTCCATTTATAGCTCCCGTGCGGTTGAACAGTGACTGGCAGGTGGGTCTGCCACACCTAGTGGGTGACATATGATGACATCATGAGTTACTAGGCAACCCAGAAGCAGGCTGTTCAAACACTAACTCCCTGTATCTAGTGAGGATCCTTTTCCAGTGTTTAGAGGGTGCATTGCTGTGTCCTCACTCTAGAAAAGCTGAGCAAAAGAACACGGACATTTTCAGCTCTTTTGTAAGGCATTCATCCCAAACAGGAGAGGACCTTTTGTTACCTAATTACTTCCCAAAGCCCTACTTCAGACTGGTATCACACTTGGGGGTTCAGGTTTTAACCTAGGAATTCTGGAAGGCCACCTTAGTTTATAACAACAAATAAAATGAAAATATGAAGTTAAAAAAGTTATTAAAGGAAGGCTGTTATTCCTTTCCAGTTTTACTTTAGCTTTCAAAACTGAATGTTTTTGTAAAGTTCTGCACTTTTTCTGTTCGTTGATAGTAACTTGAGATTTTTACACAATCATACATGTACACCACAGATAAAGAGGAACTGGCATCAATGACACAGTAGAGGAGTAAGGATTCACAACTACATTTTTGTCTTGTTATGTAAAAAAAAATGAGTAAGTGTATACCACATATTAAGTGCTATTTTCTTCGTCTAGACATTGCTTATTAAAATCAGCAATTATATCCAATATTGGGACTAAGAATATATAATTAACATGCAGTACAGCCAATTTGAGAGGATTTTTGTCGATTAAATTCAGAGATGTTTTTCACTGGTTTCCAGGATAACAAGTTAAGAGCACACGGATTTGAGAATAGGCTCTGCATAAATGTAAGTCAACAACAGAAGGCAAGTGAAATTAAAAAATTATTCTAGAAGTATAAGTGAGTTTATGAGTGATAACTCTATAGCATTGTTTCCAGGTGGTTTCTTTCAGCTTTAAGGTTGTGTGTGTGTGTGTGTGTGTGTGTGTGTGTGTGTGTCTGTGTGCGAGGTGTTTGTTGTGTCCTCAGAAGACCACAGAGAAGCCAGCACCTCACTCTCTGCCTTTTCTCAAAGAGACTTTAACTATCCAGGATAATTGCAGGGTCCACAGTGAAGGGACAACATCTCGTGTCTGAAGATGGTGCAGTTGGTGGATTTAAGTTGAAATTCACAACAAAGGGTACTTGGAATAGTTCTGCCAACAACTCCCAGTGATCAGGTTGGTTAGGACTGTGGTCAGGTATTCCACAAGCAGGTGGCAGGCAAACCTGAGATCTAGACTCAGCCACCTGTCGTTTGGTCGTCTGATCTTTGTTTATGAAGGCAGCTTCTTGATGTGGAGCTCACACAGGCCTTGGTATCATTGGTTCTCCTGTCCCCAGGAGTGCTGGGAATATAGGCTGTGAACTGCGTACTGCCTCTACCCTACAGGAGTTTATGAAATTAGGGACTGGATTAAATGTCTTGTTCCTTTTTGTAGCATGATTAAAATGCTTTAACTTCTTATCTAGTGAATGAATGGAACCCTGGAGTTGTTAGGAAAAGTATCAGCTCAGGACCCCCAAGACCAAGTTCTCCACATAAAGGAGATTTATTTGCCCCAGAGGAAGAGGGCAGGGAATAAAAGACAAAGACAGGAGATAGTGGATGAGGGAGAAGGGGAAGGGGAAAAGGGAGACAGGGCAGGGATGTTTGTCCCAGAAGGGGACAATGGACTGCCTCTAGATAGAGGAGACAGACAGGGCACAAAGGAAAACAGCAGTTTATAAAGGTACAAGGGGAAACTCTTATTAGGGTGAGATGTTTAATTTTAATTGGGCATGTTAATTAGGTGAGCCAAAAGGAGCTTTTGAGTGCTGGACTTCAACACTTTGATAGCTGGGCCTTGGTAGTCAGCCTCAGAAGGAGCAAGTGGCCAGACAAGGGAATGGACCTAGCTTTAGGAATGTAATCTAATGGTTTTTAGCAAAGCAGAGGGGATGGAAGAGAAGGGCTGCCAGAGCTATGCTCACCATGCTGGAGCCAGCCAGTCTCTTTAGGAGTGGAGAATAATGAGCTACTGTGTATTGCGAGCAGGAACACACACAGTTAAAAACAAACGAGTTCCTTTAAACACAGTGAATTCTACGCGATAGAATCTACCAGCAAGAGACTAAATTCAGTTACTTCTGTCAGAGCTCAGATATTACAAGCAATGAAACCAGTATGAATCCAGCTAAAAAGTTCAATGTTTTCCACTCATGCCAATCACATAAAGAGACATATCAAATGAACATCACATGACCAACAGAGGAAAAAGGAAAATATGCCTTAGTCGTGCAGGAAGAGGAAGCTAATGAGAACGGAAATTTTTGTAAGTTTTAGAAAATGAGTCCGCTTTAGGAAAAGAATCATTTAATTGCCTCTGAGCAAAGGTACTGATTGCAGCCTAGGTCCATTCCTAGGATGGGCTGGAGGAGCCAGCTGTCATTTCTGCCTGGCATAGAAATTTCCTTGATACACCCGCATGCCTGAAACCCAAGCCTGAACTCAGCGCTTTGCTGGAGGAGTGAAACCAGGTAAGGTGAGAGAAATTGTGCTTGGATGTGCCCACAACCCCTGCTCCTACTCGGGTGTGTCCTTCTCCTGGGTGTTTTTCATCCTTTTAGCTCTAGTGTTGAAAATCTACATTAAAAATTTCGTAACAAACTTTAACTTCTTTAAAAGAAAAGAAAAAAAGGGGGGAGGAGGCTTGAGGAGGAGGAAGACACCGAACTGGAAGTCAGAAATAATAAAGTAAATGGCTGATGGGAGGGTTACAGTGAAGCAACACAGCGAGAGGCTCACAGTGATAGACGCTGCTCCGAGGTTTCACTCCATCACCTGAAGGAGAGAATCCTGCCTCTCCACGGTGGCTGAGAAGACACTGCGCGTCCTGGAGGTGGCGTGGGTTCCCAGAATTTAGGAGAGTCGGGAACAGTGAGGCTGCCGGCGCCCAGCCTCGGAGGGAGGGCGACCCAGGCTGCGGAAAGCCAGACGCTTGGGCCTGGGTCTCCTTCCGGCTGAGCACGGGGCTCCGCGCCCCGCCCCGCCCCGCCCCGCCCCACCCCACCCTGCGCCGCTGGACCTCCCTGTGATCCGCAGCCCCGAGCCGCAGCACCGCCCCAACCTAGCACAGCATCGCTACCACAGACCGAGGCCTGGTTCCCAGTCAACAGAAGCCGGGTGGCCTGTGCTGGAGACTGCCTCAATGATGTAAGTAGCGCCGAGCAAACAATCCACAGACATAGCGGGGTGTGTGTGTGTGTGTCTGTGTGTGTGTGTGTGTGTGTGTGTGTGTGTGTGTGTCTGTGTGTGTGTGTGTGTCTGATTTTGTCTTAGCTTTCAGGGTTTTTGGCCTGGGTAGCTCCTCATCGTGCTAAGAATCTTCAGGTCTGCACACTGGACAGTATTATATCTGCTCAGAACACTTGACCTGTGGCTCTTTCACTTGCCAGGTATCAGCTTCTTGTTTCACTCTTGTTCCAGACTCCTGTGAGATTTGTTTCGCCAAAATATTAATGGCGAGAAGCTTAAGCCTCCCAGCACGAAAGCAGCACCAGCTACAGGCTGGAGCAAGTGCCTGGCACAGGACTGTTTACCCTAAAAGACCTGTTCCTCTGAAATGCTTAGCCGGCACTGCCTTCTCATGGATGCTGGCTACTGGTTTTCTCTAAGTCCTGAACGAAGACTTTCAGTTCAGCACACACGTTCATGTCTTTGAGCCAAGCAGGCACAGGCCAGGACAGGAAATACAAACGTGAACTCCATACAGTCTCCACCCTACACGAGTTCAGAATGCAGAGTGTACCTAAACAAGAAGTTAGCTCCTTAGCACCTGGGCTGCTCTAGGGATTGTGGGCAGAAGTGCCTCCCCCAACAATCATTAGTCAAGAAAATGTCCCACACAGACCAATCCGATGGAAGCATTTTTTTTTTATTGATTTTCCTCTTCCCAGATGACTCTAGCTTGTGTCAAGTTGACAAAAATCTAACTAACCAAGTGACCAAGGAATGTCATATATTCTCTGCCTTCAGAAATCTTTAGGATTACAACCCATCAACTATGTTCTCAGCACTTTCAGAGTATCCACAAAAGGCCTTAAGAATGAACCAGAGTAGCTGGGTATAGCGGCCCATGACCTTTTATCCCAACATTTGGGAGGCAGAGACTGGTGGACCAGGCCAGCCTGGTCTACATAGTGAGTTTCAAGATAGACAGAGCAATCTCACATAGTGAGACCATGTCTCAAAAAATCAAACAATCAGCCAGAGGTAGGTCCTGGGTCCTGGGTCCTGGGTTCTGGGTCTTATATGCAAAGTTTCTCTGTGAATGTGGACTATAACAGTTACCTGTTTCTTGCATGAATTCTTGTCCTCCCCACGGCAGAAAACTGAACACATTCCACAGCTTTTCTTCCTGTTGAGATTGGGTATAGATCTACAGATAAGTAAATGATGTCCCTGAGTCTTCAAAGGACAAGGACAAGGCCATCTTCCTGCTTTTTTTTTTTTTATGCTTTCTGTTGACAAGGAAGGTCCTGGTGATGGCAGTATCAGTCTTCAGAACTGCTGGTGTTGAGGGCCCTTGCATCTTGAGACTTGCAGACTCAAGTCTTGCGGTGTTAAATCCTCAACTTTTTGCTTGACAGGAGGCAGCTGGGGCGTTGGGGGTGGGGAGGGGGGTCACTGAGGATCAGGTCTGTAACCCTAAGTCTTCGAGGAGGCTGAGGCAATAGAACAAAAATTTGAGGCCAGTGTGGGCTACCTCGTGAGACCATGTTTCAAAACTTAGCCTGAGGGAGGTGGTTGAACCTTGTCCTGGTTACTTTTCTATTGCTGTGATAAGACACCATGGTCCAAGAAAACTCACAGAAGAAAGAGGTGTTGGAGGCACTTACAGTTTCAGAGGGATTAAATGGGAAATCATTGTGACGGGAAACGGGGCAGCAGGCAAGTGGGCAGGCACTGGAAGAGAAGCTGAGAACTCTCCCCCGGAAATACACTAAAGGGGCAGAGAGACACACTGGAAATGGCATGCGGTTTTGAAACCTCAAAGCCAGCCCTTACTGACACACCTCCTAATCCTTCCTACACAGTTCTGCTAACTGCAGACCCAGTATGCAAATATATGAGCCTACAGAGTTCATTCACATTCAAACCACCACAAATATATTCATGTCCTGTGCAGACTGCTGCCAGATCCCACCTTCTCTAGTGACAGCTACGGCGGTGTTCTTGAATTTCACACACCCTGTGGAAACTCCTGCCTGTGGCAAAAATAGAACATTTCTTAATGGTCAGATGCTAGTATTCTAGGGCTCATTGTTGAGGGCCCAGACTAGACCCTGCTTTGAAAGCCCTTCAAAAACCTCAGGATTATCTAGTTCGCTTTGTAGCATATTTTTCTGCTTAAAATACCTGAAGTGATTTCTTGTTTGTGCATGGACCCTAGAATCATCTAAGCCTAAACTCCTGTTGTTTTTCGTTTTTATTTATTTATTTTTGTTTTGTTGTTATATGGGAAGTGACACTATGGGGTTAGGTGTGGAAACCATTTCCCTGGACTGCTCACATTTTGTACCTTGCTATGTCCTAGTTAATACGGCACAGCGTGAACCTTCACTTCACACAGGATCCTTTCTCCTGCAATTTCTTTGTCTGGAATGATCTGTTCCAGTTCCTTTACAAATGACTTCATCTTTCAAGGTCTGAGTCCAGCATCTCATGACTCCCCTCCCCCATTCCCCTACCCCCCGTGTTTTGACCTCTGGTTCCCCATCAAGGATTTTACAATGTGTCAAGAAGCTAGATAGATGTTGACCAAAAATGTTTCAACACTGCTTCTTACCTGAAGTTCTCAGACCTAATTCTGCAGCAAATTCTGTAGCAAACCTGTTGTAGTTGCCAAAATGTTTTGGCTGTCGTAGCAGGATTTATTTATTTATTTAATCAAAACTCTTGAAAATGACAGATTTCTTTTTCCTCACAGAGCACGATGTCTGAGGGTTTATTCAGTAGCTCAGTCCTGTCAGGGCTCTAGGTTGCTGTCTAGATTAGACAGTTTTGACTTTTTCTCCGTGCATGATGGAAGGCTGGCTGCTAAGCTTCCAAGACACATGGAAACTTGATCAACCAAAGCTTTCCCCCAACACAAATGGACACTAAAAAACAAAAAGTTGAGGGTTTTTTTCCCTCTTTTATTAATCATTGGCATGAACCCTTCATAGCCCTAGACCAAAATCTGAAAGAGTTATGTTAGAGACACTGATGCAGACCAGTCTTGGCTGTATCACCAGCACCAATCGAGAGATCCACTGTGGTATTTGAACAAGTAGCTTTTAGCCATGCAGTAAGCCATATCTATAACACATGTTGGACCCCAAATCTAAAACTAAGGTGTTAAATTCGCAATTAAAAGTGTTGTCCTTGGAAAGAATATAGAATAGAGAGAAGCAAGAGTTGGGTCCCTCTTAACTTTGGATTTATCTTCTTATATTTATATGTTGTTAGTGTTTTACATCCTAAAGAGTCCACAAAATCACCAGGGCAATAAACCAAATAGCACAACAGATGCTTTCCTTTGTTAGCTTGGCCTCATGTGGTTACACGCCTGGAACTCTCAGAGAAGGTCATTCACCGCAAAGGGAAACATTCTTAGTCATTTCAGCAACTCTCAAGGAAAGTTTTAACCTCCTCTATGTCTGGGTCTGAACTCCTAATTGCTGAGGAGGGAACTTTTTGAGGTGTGAACATTAAACTGGCGTTGATAAGCAGAACCAAGAACTGGAATATTTGTTCTACCTAGAAACTCCATATGGGAGCCTGGTATATTGGCACACTGTGGAGAGTCAGGCAGGATGCTAGATGCAGGGCTGGCTAGCTGGAGCTATAAAAGGGAGAGCTTCCTTGAAACAAAGAAGAAGCCGGGCTTGGTAGCACACGCCTGTATTCCCAGCACTCAGAGGAGGCAGAGGCAGGCTGATTGCTATGAGTTCAAGGTCAGCCCAATCTACAAAAGGAGTCCAGGACAGCCAAGGCTACACAGAGAAACCCTGCCTGGAAAAAAACAAAAAAAACAAAAACAAAACACAAAGAAGAAAAAACAAACAAAATGTTGCAGGAGTCTGAGAACCTCCTGTTCCAACCCTTAAATGGGTGAACGCCAAATGTAGGAGACTGTCATTACTATAATCATTGAAGGATACTTAATGAGCAGCCATGGCAATGAACTTTTAAATGTATACATACAGCACATAGAGTATTCCAACAGTTAGTCCACACATGCTACTATAGTTCTATAGTTCTAGAGGCAGGAAGTTCCAAGGTTACAGTTCTTAAAGAGTTGGTGTCTGGGGGCTGGAGAGCTGGCTCAGAGGTTAAGAGCGCTGTCTGCTCTTCCAGAGGTCCTGAGTTCAATTCCCAGCAACCACATGGTGGCTCACAACCATCTATAATAAGATCTGGTGCCCTCTTCTGGCCTGCAGGTGTACATGCAAATATAGTGCTCATATGTAAAATAAAGAAATAAATCTTAAAAAAAAAAAAAAAAAAAAAAGAGTTGGTGTCTGGTAAGACCTTGCTCTTAATTTACAACTTCATCCTCATGCAGAAGGATAGAGGAGCAATACCACCTGACATTGCAGAACAGAAAAAGCTGTTCTTTCATCCTATTTTTTATACACACAGATGCACAGACAGAAAGACATACACACACACATTGTTTTTTCAAGACAGAGTTTCCCTGTGTAGCCTTGGCTGACCTGGACTAGCTTTGTAGAACAGACTGGCCTACAAACTCACAGAGACCCACCTGCCTCTGCCTCCTGAGTGCTGGTATTAAAGGTGTGCACCACTATGGCCAGCCACACACACATCTGAGACAGGTCCATAGACTAGAACTGGTCCTAGCACTCTTTATGTAGACCAGGCTGGTCTTAAACTCACAAAGATCTGCTGGCCTCTGCCTCCTGCTAGGATTAAAGGTGTGTTCTAGCTGGGTGTGCATCTTTAACCCCAGCACCAGGCAGATTCTGAGTTCTAGACTAGCCTTGAATACAGAGGGAGTTCTAGGACAGCCAGGGCTAAACAGAGAAACCTTGTCTCAAACAAACAAACATTTGTGTCACCATGCCCAGCCCTTCAACCACTTTTTAAAGAGCACCATTCCACTTGAGAGAGTAGATCATTTTGCAAAGTGACTTAACCTTTTCCCAGGAATCTACATCACTTACTGACATCCCTTTTGGATTAAGCTCCAAAATGTGAGCTTTGGAGAAATAGATGCATTACAAATAATATCAAACAACATATGCAACTTCTCAATAAGATTCCCCCATCAAACACTGTCCTGTCCATACCACAGGCAAGCAATGCAATGGTTAATCTTGATTGTCAACTATTGGGTTGAAAATTAGGACAGTAGAAAATGGGGGTCTAACCCAATGAACTGATTACTTGCTTGATGAGGTCATAAAATTATGGCATTATTAAGAGGTAGCTAAAAACATGAGATAGGGGTTCTTTAAAGGATGCAGGCCATTGGGATGTATCCATACATCCCAATACTTTGGCCAGTTTTTGTATATTCATATTCTCATTCTCTCTCTCTGTGTATGTGTGTGTGTGTGTTATTCTCCTGAACCCTGTCTTGACTATACTCTCCAGTTTGTTTGGGATCTTTCTCTTCTTCCTAGTTGCTATACAGGAACTTGTATTCAGCCTTTCAAGCAGAATGATGTTTGTGAAACCATGAGCTGGAGTAAATCCTTCCTCCTTTATGCTGTTTGTGTCTGATGTTTTGGTACAACAAGAAAAGCAGCTACAGAGAGCATGGCCTGTGAGCTGTGAAACGCTAAGCTTTAGGATGCACACAGATCTGCCTTTCAGATAGGCTTAGTTTATTCACACAAACTCTCCTTAGAATGCCATGCTAATATAAAGGTTACAGTAATCTTGTGTAAATAGACGTCTCAACCAGAGGGGAGCGGTTGGTTGAGCAGAAAAACTGCTGCAAGGTTCCACTGGCAAATTATCTCTGCTTACAACACTTCCAGAGATTACAGGCTCCATCCTTGTGTGCCCAGAAATCCATCAGCTGTGGTGGGCTGGATGATGGCACTGCTGGACATCCCAGAAGGTTCCTGAGAGCACTGACTAGCACCTAGCACTGACAGGCAGCCTGTGTGGGAAGCCGGAACCACAGCACACGGAGGCCAGTCTCAAAGTCCTCTTGATGATGGGCACCATTGCAGGGGCTTGAAATACAGTGTTTCCGGAGCACAGCAGCTGGGCTCCCTAGAAACCACTGTCTAGTTTTAGTTCTTAAACTCGTTGTTTTCCATGCATGGTTCTCACCATGTGTTAGCTTGTGGGCATTTTGCACATTTTCACATAAATATTTTTCTGCTTTGTTCACAGTCAAAACGTGATGGGTTCACACTGTAAATATTTTTCTCCTTTTACAACAATAACGTTCATTATGTCAAAACCTGTTTGCATTCATTTTGTCAAAACAAATTCTTAGTTCAAAACAACATGTCATGTTTTCAACATAGTTTCCAGGTCACATGAAAATGGTTTCACTTATGTTCCTATCATTAACTAAGGTAACAAATAAGAAAGTAAACTGTCTTGGGGGTAGAGAGATGACTTAACATTAGGAGTCTGTACTGTTCTTCCTGAGGACCTTAGTTGGGTTCCATCTGATCAAGAATGGGCCCCATAAACTTATATATTTGAATGCTTGGTCCTCATTTAGTAGAACTGTTTGAGAAAGATGAGGAGGAGTGGCCTTTTGGGAGGAGGTGTATCACTGGGGGTGGGCTGTGAGGTTTCAAAAAGCCCACACCAGAACCAGCTCTTCTCTCTGTCTGAACCTTGCGGATCTGGTGTGAATTCTCATCTACTCTTTCAGCCCCATCCTGCCTGCTGTGGCCCTCCCTCCCCATCATGGACTCACCCTCTGAGACTGTAAGCAAGCCCTCAATTAAATGTTGTCTGGGTCACGGTGTTTCATTGCATCAACAGAACTGTAACTCAGGTTCCCAGCACCCAGATCGGGTGGCTCACAACTGTAGGTAATTCCAACTCTGTAGGATCTAGCCTCCTCTTCTGACCTCCATGGACACCTGCACCCTTGAACACAAACTGGCATTCATACACACAATTTAAAACAAAATCTTAAAAGTAAAGAAGGTGAGCAGTCCCGCCCACACAGAGATCTTTCAACTGAAAGAAACACTTTTGGCAATGAGGCATTTGCAACTTTGTAGGTCTTCCCTGTCCGTTTAAATAGCACAGGAAATACTTTTAAGCATTTAGGCTGGTTTTTAAAATTAAGTTGAAGAATGGGAGGCTTTTTAACAAATACCTGATGGTAAGGTATACTTATAGACACTTTTCACAGTCCAGGTCACTTCCCTGTGGAGAAAGACAAAGATGCTGCAGGTTCACTGTCGTCTGTTCCATTTGATTTAAGGATTTTGTTTCATTTGAGCCCATATTCCTGTCTTAGAAATATTTGAAAACTGTTGCAAAAGATCCCTAAGCACTTCCTTGCCTGCTCTGAAAACCACAAAAACAGAAAGTGATCTCAAATTGTGGCAAGTAGAATTAAGCTATCAAAAAAAAAATTACAGAATATATCCAAGAAAATTATTATAGCCAAGGCAAACTATATAATTTTCTTCTCCAAAGCTTTAAAATTGCCCAGATTCTTTTCTAAAGGTATTCGAAGTTTCACATGGGAAAATCTTACTGCAGCAATTGTAGCATTACAGAAATATAGACAAGGCAGGAATAAGCGACTCTCCTCTTTCAGAAAATAATGGGTTTGGAAGAGGTTACCTCTGGTGACTCATTCCGGATGTCAACACTGGAAAGTTACCTGAGCAGTCCTGCCTGGGGAGTCAGCCCATTAGTTAGGGCAATCTAGAAGTGATATTGCTCAGCGTTTCAAAGCATAATCAGCAAGGAACGATGGGAAAGGAATTAAGATGTGATAGGCCACCAAGGGCTTATTTCAAGAGCAGCCAAAAACTAGGTAAGCAATGAAGATAAATATGTAGGGCATTAAAAAAAAAAAAAAAAAAAAACCAGCGATACAAAGGTGAGAAGCCTGAGTTACTGTGGGTCTACCTCAGGGTCTAAGAAAAGGAAAAAGTGAATTTACTCATCTGCTGCCAACAGTTTTCAATTGTTACTGTGTCCATGCTGTGTTTCCTCCAAACCAGACCGTGTCCCTCATCCCCAAGTCATCGTCTTTGAAACTGTAAGACATGGAGGATGAAGACAGGACAGTCGAATGTCAGTATTCAAAGCCATCCGCTGGAACAAGTCCCATGGCTTCCGTGCATGAAGACCTGCAGGTAACATCTCCAACCAAAGGCAGGAAATCCCAGCTGTTTCCTAAAGTACATGACTGTTTGTTTCCAAGCTGAGAGAACTGTTTCTCCTCAGCCTTTACCACTCAACTAACAATTCTCCCAGAAGGGCCAGCTGACCCACTCCTGAAATGCCAGCACTCAGAGGAGTGACGCAAAAATACTCTGAGTGTATGGCCAGCCTGAGTGACCTGCTAAGACCTTGTCTTAAAAAAAAAAAGAAAGAAAGAATAAAAATTCTCATCATGCTTAATCCCCGCATTCACATAGATCAGGGTAGATAATGTCTTACAGCTTCCCAGCTAAGGTTGTTGGCAGCTGGCTCTACCTGAGGTTGGCAAATAGCCTACAAAACGCTTTGTGCCCCTGGCATAAGCCCTTAGGACAGTGGTTCTCAACCTTCCTAATGCTCTGTAATACAGTTTCTTATGTTGTGGTGACCCACAACCATAAAATTATTTCCATTGCTGCTCCATTACTGTAATTGTGCTACTGTGATGAATCATAATGTAAATATCTGTGTTTCCCAATGGTCTTGCGTGATTCCTGTGAAAAGGTGGCTCAACTCCCAAAGGGGTCGTGACGCACAGGTTGAGAGCCACTTTCATAGGAGAATTCTGTGTGCTTGCCTCCTTTGCTCTCTTTCCCTCTCTCTTTCCCTCCTCCCCTTTCTTGAATCACTATGGTATATTCACCTGCTATTGTATTGAATTATATCTTAACTATACTAATTTAGGGGCGAGGTACGTACCTTCATGTTTACATGACACGAGAGTTTAAAAGTTTAAAAACAGGTACTCATTGTTAACTATTCTTCAACAGTTCTTGTTTTAAGCACAAGCTGACTCACTAGTAATGAAGCTGTATGTTTCTTTATATGGCATTATCCTACATTCTAATAAAGGCAATTTGATTTGAAATGCGATAAGCCAATAGCTAACAGATGTATGAAAACACAGTTTTAAAGATTTAATTTTTTTAAGTACAGGAGGAGAGAGTCATGAACCTCAAAGCTGTAGATGCAAATGAGCCAACAGAAGGCAGTAACCTGCTGAACAGCAGTGAGAAAAAGCCACAGGAATCACCAACGGAACCCAATAGCTTGCAGCGACTGAGGCGGATACTGGCTTGCCCTCCTCACGGCTTGCTGGGAAGAGTGGTAACAAATGGTGTGTATATGGCAGGGATGAACTCAGAAAAAGAACATCAAAGATGGCTGGAGAGATGGCTCAGAGGTTAAGAGCACTGACTTCCAAAGGTCCTGAGTTCAATTCCCAACAGCCACATGGTGGCTCAAAACCACCTAATAGTGAAATCTGGTGCCCTCTTCTGGTGTGCAGACTCACATGCAGGTACAATACTGTATAAATAATAAATAAATATATCTTTAAAAAAACATTAAAGATGAAGTCACAGTGAGAGTTTCCAAAACCATATGGTTAAAAGGACAAGAAGAAATGTACTTAGATTAAAACTGCTGGGCAGAGCGGCTGACAATCATGGCTTTCTCTGCTCCACATGGTCATTCCGGGTGGGGTTGAAAAGCTCCACCCTATCAAACTGTGACTTGAGAGGGGTCTGTGGTCACCACATCTGAGCCAGTCGAAAGAGCAGAACCTCCTCTATTTCTGGGTAATTTCACACAGTCACTGTAAGGCTCGATGGGGACACTTGGCTGTAGATGTCTCGTTCCCAGAGAAGCATTATGTAGGTGTCAACATTACAGGCTGGCTGATCTCCAGCCGTGCTCTGTTTACACTTCTAATCAAATCCTGTTACTCCACACGGAAGAGTACTGGTCTGCAGTGCAACCATTTCTTTGTGATGGGGGAGGGAGAAGGGTTTCTCCTGACGTTTTTGGATATTATTTCAGTTGTGGAGGTAACCTCAAGTATGTTAGAAATCTGATGACAGCACAGATGTTCAAAGTCAGTGATCAACTTTTTGTTCACAAAGGTGTGTGTGTGTGTGTGTGTGTGTGTGTCTCTGTGTGTGTGTGTGTCTGTGTGTGTCTGTGTATCTTTGTGTCTGTGTCTATGTCTGTGTCTGTGTCTGTGTCTGTGTCTGTGTCTGTGTCTGTGTAGTTCAGGATCCTGATTCTCCTGCCTCAGCCTCTCCGGTGCTGGGATTGCTGGCCTACACCACCCACCCAGCGTGGCCTAAGTCTTTAGAGCTGTACTTCAGAAGGGAGCTCTCCCAGAGATTTTCACTCAGGACAATGAAAACAAGTAAAATATGTTATACTTTAGGTGGTGAATGTTTTTACTGGAAAAGTAAGATTCTGATTCAGTATGGAAAAACCATTTTTAAACCATTAGGAACACAGAAACTAGCTCTCAAAACATGACCCAGCTGAAGAGGCTGCACAGAATTTGACACCTCTTCTTTCCTTTACTCTATTTTTTTAAACTCTTACCACTGAAAATATGACACATATCGAGTTAAAATATAATAAAAGCAGAAAGCGATTGCCTGAGGAATATGTAGAAATGACTAATTTTGAGGAATCATTTTTATTGTTACCTTTTTTAGCATTTTGTGGCATTGAATGCTTCTGGATGTGTGTAGTGTGCGTGTGAGGGAAAGCCCGAGGTTGGTGTTGAGTCTTCCTCCATCACGCTTTATTTATACGTTGGGGCTGGGTGCTGTACTCTGCATGACTTGGGTCCTGGAACCCTGACTGGGGATTGACCTGACTGGGGTGTGGCAAGGGAATGAAAAGCCGAGCTCGGGTGGAGAAGCTGCAGCACCTGAGATGTTCAGCATGCTTATCATGTACAGCTGCACGTGGAGGAGGGCTTACTACATACGGATACATAAGGAGTGGGGGTTGTTACAACCAGCTGAACAGGAGGCAGGCTTAGCTAACCGCCGTGGGAGCAGCCTCTGGAGGGCGCAGTCTTCGAGCTGTGAGCACCCAGGGGAGAAAGCTAGAGTGCACATACCGTCAGCGTTTGCACTTGGATGGGAAGAAGGCTTTGCCATCCCTCTGAACCTCACATGGGGGAGGCTTTGCCACACCATTGACCTGAGGCGTGGGTTTGGTATGGCCGTGTCCACATTAATAACACTCACTCTGAATTCCGCTTGCTTCTTACAGCAGGGTCTTGCTTTGCCCCAGAGTCAATGCTTGACCTAGTCTAGCTAGCCAGCTTGCTCTGGGATCCCATCTATGTCCCTAAGCTGTGGGATTCCAGGTGACTGTCATGTTGACATCAACGCTTAGCTGATAGGGATCTGAACTCTCATGCTCACACTTGCATGGCAAATACTTTACTCACTGAGCTATCTCTACAGCCTGAGGGCTCATTTTTAAATATAGAATTGTTCAGAACATTCCTGGAAAATGAGGGCTCCTGGTAGATAAATGTACTCACTGTTTTCCTATGGTTGTACTTCTGAGGTCAATGGCTTTGTTCTGTATTCACGCCTGCATCATTTAATACATATAAATCCTTCTTAAGAAGCTATTATTAAAGCTGAGCAGAGATGGTGCATGCCTTTTGAACCCAGCACTCAGGGAGGCAGAGGAAGGCAGATCTCTGTGAGTTCGATGCCAGCCTGGTCTACAAAGCAGTCCAGACTAACCAAGGCTACACAGAGAAACCCTGTCTCAAAAAAGAAACAAACAAAAAAGAAGCAATTATTATACGAAAGTTATGTTTTTCCAAAATCATAAATAACAAATAAGGTACTAGCTGACCTAAACTGATTTAGGGATAGTTTATAAATACACAGAAAAATTATGCTTACAATTGTATTTCAGGTATGGAGAATGAAAGAGGAGCCAGAGACTTTTTCACAGTAATCTTAGCATGGAAAAAGGAAAACTCAACTCTGTCTAATTGTGGAATTAGTAAAAAGTGCAGTTCATGCTTTAATAAAATCAAACTTAACAGCTGGAAAGATGCGCCTTCCATTCTGCCTGTAACATTTTGTGGAAATCTTAGCCTGCATGGTCTATTGGAAAATAATCAAAGTGCCTTAGACATTTCATTGTATTAGTAGCTTACATCTCTGGGGACTTTTTTTTTTTTTTGAGGTTTTAGAAAAAAAAAAAGGCATTAGGTTTGTTACTTTCTCATTCTGTGATAATATAGTGAATTACCTTTCTCATTCTGTAATAATATAGTGATCATGTTTTTTTTATCTTCTTTAAGTGTGATAATTCATAGCAAACATTGACTATAAAAATGATCGTTAATGTTTAATTCAAGGCAGAATTAAATACAGGAGTATAACTGGAGATCAGATATTCTCAGATGTCTATAAGAGGGCAAAAGGCAGCGATTGTTCTCTGTAATATTAACTGTTTCTGTGCTGCAAGATGGTGGTTCCTTCTGCCATTGTAAAGGGAAATGGGGCTGAGGACAGGTAGCAGGTGTATTTAAAGGTGCTGTTAGTCCCCAGTCCTCCCCTCTCCCCAAGACAAAGTTTCTCTGTGTAACAGCCCTGACTGTCCTGGAATTCACTCTGTAGACCAGAACTTACAGATCTGCCTGCCTCTGCCTCCAGTGTGCTGGGATTAAAGGCATATGCCATCATGCCCAGCCCAGTTCCCTGGTTCTTGAACTGGTTGGTAATGACCTATTTGTTCATATTACTCATGTCTGTTATAATTTATGGTTATAGATATTTGCATATGGATTCAATGTTTATTTAAAAACAGTTTCAGAATCCAACACAGCTTCCATTATAAAAAATAGTTTTTCTGGTGTTTTGGGTTTTATTTGTGTGTGTGTGTGTGTGTGTGTGTGTGTGTGTGTGTGTGTGTTAACTCTTTTGTTGTCATTTTTTTAGGCACCATGGTTGTTCTTTTGTGGGCTGTGGTTTGGTCAGTTACCGGCTCCGAATGTCTTCCTGGAGGAAATCTGTTTGGAATTATAATCTTGTTCTATTGTGCCGTCACTGGAGGTAAACTTTTTGGACTCATTAAGTTTCCAACATTGCCTCCCCTGCCTCCTCTTCTTGGTAAGTGCTGAATGTTTCTTGATTTCCTCAAAGCAAATGATAGTTTTTAAAATCACTCTGGACAACTTTAGGAAATAAAGGAATAAAATAGCTCAGTATTTGCTGACCTGGAGACAAAAAGGAAGATATTAATTTAAAAAAAAATTACCAAAAAAAAATAAGAAACAAAATAAAGCCGGGCACAGTGGCACATACCTGTAATCTCAGCACTCTGGGAGGCAGAGGCAGGCAAATCTCTATGAGTTCGAGGCCAGCCTGGTCTACAAAGTGAGTTCAGGACAGCCATGGCTACACAGAGAAACCCTGTCTCAAAAAAAACAAACCTGAAAAATTATTATTATGTGTGTGTGTGTGTGTGTGTGTGTGTGTGTGTGTGTGTGTGTGTACTCTGTGTGTGTGCTGTGTGCAATGTATGTTTTGGCATTTGTGTCCGAATATGTCAGAGGACAGCTTTATGGAGTCAGTTCTCTTCTTCCATCTTTATTGGGTTCTGGCGATCAAACTTAGGTGGCCAGGCTTGCGAGGCAGGACATTTTCAGCTAAGCCCTCTCTCTCTGGTTCCAGTTATTAAATGAGTTTTTTTGAACCACTCATTAGATGTGGTGCAGAAATCAGGAAATGCTACAAGGTGGGACTTGTTTGTTTTCCAGACAGGGTTTCTCTGTGTAGCTCTGGCTGTCCTGGAACTCACTCTGTAGACCAGGCTGACGTCAAACTCAAACTCACAGAGGACCACCTGCCTCTGCAGGTGTGTGCCGCCACCACATGGCTTCTTTTTATTCAGCATCCTAGCTCTAGTAAATGTGTTTATCAGTGTGACGTGTGGTGCATGTGCGGACACAGTATGAAGAGGGTAACACAGGACAGGCACGGAGAATAGAGACCTCAGGGTCTTTGAAAGAGGGATCCTTCTTTTACTTGTGGCCTAAACATGGGCAGCGTTCCCTTACAAGGACCAGGGTTCAGTTAGACGAGTTATCCACAGCTCCTAGGATGTGAAAGTTCCATACCTTCAAGGTAACCACTTTCTCTCCCAGAAAATTACACTTGCTTGGCCCTTTACCCCCTCCGCTGTCCTGGACCCCTTGTTCACCTGTCTTTTCTCAGTTTCATCAGTTAGGGTTGTTAGTCTCGTTCCTCTGAAGGTTCAAAGCTTGTTGTTGTGTTATCGTTCCTAGCATTTGTCCACTGTATAACAGAGTCTGTGGTCTCCTGTCTACTACTGAGTCTATGTTCTTCATCTGATATAAAATAATGAAGGCAGCCAGCAAACTGTGAACAGTAAATAAGAGAAGAGATACCATCGGACATGGCAGGGCAGTGTCCATTTGCCATGATTGTCTTCCAAACCTTTACAGTGTGTGTCTGTGTGTTTTCCTAAGCTGTCTTCTGTGAAGCTAAAACAGAATCCATATAAGTGGTTATTGTTGTTGATGGCTCAGGGAGTCTGACATTGCAAATAACTCCAGGAACTGTTTGTCCTCAGGCATGACTGAAGCATCTTATTTAGGATTTGATCATTATTCCTTCTAAATGCTATACTTTTTGTGTCCCTTCTATATTCCATTATCTGGACAATATTAACTATTCTAATCACTTTATGCATAAAGTATCTCTTTGATCCTTTTATTTATTATGTGTTTTAATGATGTATTTAACTTTGTTTCACCCAAAGACTAAGCATAAGGAAAACTACATTGTAATCTCTGTCACAAGTAAAATGCTTTAAAAAAACAAATCTCCCTATTTGAAAACGTAACTAGTCCTACTTGATCTACTCCAGGCATGCTACTTGCTGGGTTTCTCTTGAGAAACATCCCCATCATCAGTGAGAATGTCCAAATCCAGCACAAATGGTCCTCTTCTTTGAGGAGCATAGCCCTTTCTGTCATTTTGGTTCGTGCTGGCCTCGGTCTGGATTCAAAGGTAAGGAGTATGAATCTCTAATTGTTGAATAGTAAGCATGTTCTTCTGATATTACAAGTACTTAGAATCATTAAGCTTCAGGAATGAACGTGGACAACGTGCGTGGCACTCTCAGAAAGAGGGAGGCGTTTATTCCATGCAGGGCTTTTGTACTCTATGGGGCCTCGCAGGAGTCAGATGTTCCCAAACTATGTTTTGAAGGAACAGGTATCACTGTGGAGGGGAGGCCCATCTGGCTTCATTCTGGGGCCATAGGCCACAAGTGAAGTGCATGGTCAGTTAGTATGTGGGCTGGAAACACAGGCTCTGAAGTCACCTGCATGGCCATAAACTTGGCCTCAATACTCACCAATTTCATGAACTGAGGCCACTGACTTTAACATCTAAAAAGAGGAACAGTAGTTACCTATTGCGGGATTCTTGTGAGGACTGGGTACCCTGTCTCTCAAACATGTAGAACGAAGAATAAAACTAATTAACTGAAAAACCCATTAGGACAGAGCATGGTCTGACGAAGTGCTGGAGGTTGTATCGTCCACAAATTTTCATAGAACATACTAGTGTGTCCACCCTTATTTTTCAGGCCCTGAGGAAGCTGAAGGGGGTGTGTGTCCGACTGGCCATGGGTCCCTGCATTGTGGAGGCGTGTGCTTCTGCCCTTCTTTCACACTTCCTGATGGGTTTGCCATGGCAGTGGGGGTTCATACTGGGGTAATGACTTTTTTTTTTTCTTTTCATATAAAAATACCAAGGGGCATTTGGGACTTACTGATTCCATTTAAAAGAGTGTAAAATAACATTTTCTTAAAAGCACCATGAAATATACGGTAGGGACTTCAGCATCATCTCATGGCTGTGAGATATAGGTTGTATCTCTGTCCCCAACTTTTGTAGTGATTGCGGTAAACTAAACTGTAATATTTATCCTTTCAAATTATCTTATATTTATACCAGTAAAGACACAGGAGGCATAAACTGAGGTAAACATTTGCTAGTTCTGCAAGGTAATTTTATTTTCTTAACTATATACAAAGTATATATTTACAAGCTTGATTCTACAACTAAACTGCTAGCTGCTTAGAAATCTCTTTTTATGTGTGTCATTCTACCTAGCTAGTCTACATTTCTCTTGAGCTCCTCCAAACCCAAGAGGGCTCCTTACTCTCTTTCCTAGAATCCTGTTGACCTGTGTCCTGACAGCTGCTTCTCTGTTTGCCTGCAAGCCCAGAGGGGGAAAAAATCCCTATCTCTTACATGGAGCTCCTTCCAGGGGGGCACTTCCAAGCCAAAAGAGAGAGCTTTCCAAGGTCCAATTGCTATAAAAGAAGTCTCTTGCTCCTCCCCCTACACCCTTAGCAGGCTGAACCATGCCACCATCATGGTGGAGGTCCAAGCCGAGTCAGTAGGGGCCAAACCATTTCACCTAATTTATGGTGGTGTAGCTCAAGGCCAACCAGATGACTGCCTTAAAACAGGCAGAAACTTTCCATTCTTCAGCTCTCTTGTCGATGGAGGATTACATAGGCACACCTACACTGCCTCTCTCTAGGACACATCTAAATGCATCTGACATTCATTTAAGCTTTTACATTTTTCTAAAAGGTTTCCTATGTAAAATAATAAAATATCCTGCCACACTAAACTTCAGAAGAAGTTGTGCTTTGTTTTGCTTTTTGCTTTTGGTCTTCTCTATGCCTGATTCCAAGCCTGGGAGTTAGATGCTGGATCCAACCCCAGAGGCACCTTCTGCCAACAGACATTGCGATTTGGTGGTTCTCCTACACATTCCTTCTAGTGTCATGTTTTCACGTCCAGTGGGTAAGAGCGATAAGAGGTACAAGCACACATTAAAAGTTCACAGCAAGAATGTAGTGTTTACATATGGGCAAGAAGAAATTTTTACCTGTCTGCCAAAATTTAGTAGGGCTACTGAATAAATTCCACCTCCAACTCTGTGATTTCCAGTTACCTCGTCTCTCTTCTGTCTCGGTTTCCTTACTTGTGTGTATTTCATGCTGTTTGGGCAGTGGTGAATGAGTTCATGTGTGTGCAGTCCTCGAAGTGGGTCATTGGAGCTTTGTGGGTATGTAAGACGCCTCCCAGTGTCACCCCTATTGCTCTCACTGTCCCACCACCCCCATGCTCATAGCCTGCTCCTTCAAGTCTGTTGTCTTATTTGACATCTCAAGTACTAGCTGAAGCTCTGTTGCAGTAGAGAATGCTCGAGGTAGTTTTTCACACCTTAAAACGTAACTGGATATATATATGTGTGTGTGTGTGTGTGTGTGTGTGTGTGTGTATGCTGTGTTCTATAGAACTTCCTGCTTCTGTGTTCCTGGCTGTTTAAGAGACTACAGTCGTCCAATGTCTAACCTAACCTGATGTAAAAGTATAGAAAAAAAGGAGGTGTTGTTACGGATTTTGAGGTGGGGATAATGAACAGCTTGCTTAGTCCACAGTGTCTTAGTTTTGTCCTAGGTGCTGTGTCTCCGGCTGTTGTGGTGCCTTCAATGCTCCTTTTGCAGGGAGGAGGCTATGGGGTTGAAAAAGGTATCCCAACTTTACTCATGGCTGCTGGCAGCTTCGACGACATCTTGGCCATCACCGGCTTCAATACGTGCTTGGGTGTGGCATTTTCCACAGGTAATGTCACCTGTCCAGAGCATGCTGTTCTCTTAAAGTGTTTAAATCGTGGTGTGATTGCTGAAGGCAATGCCTGTAAGGGAAATGCTAGATCCCTCCCCAGAACCGTCAGAAAACAGAAGCTGTCTTGTCCCTCTCTTTGGCCTTATAGATGGAGTACGGGACAGGAGGATAGAGAGTAGGGAGGTTTACAGAAGAATAGTTTCTTCTTGAAGAGGTCTAGGAAAGTTTAAGTGTAGAAACCCCACAAAGGGTGAGTAGATTGTGTCGATAGGCACACAGGGTGAAAGGAATGCTGTGATTCTAAAACAGGAGCATTTTCAGTTCTCTTGTCTTTAGCTTTTTCTTGGGTCCTTGTAAATTAGTCTTCTGTAAGCCCAGGTTTCACAATGTTACTTTCTTGTTCTGTAACTTACGAATGTTCCCATTCCCTACGAAGACCTAATAGATAATTAATCTTTAGATGAACTCTACTCTACAACTCTAGGCAACTTATATTCCTAAGGCTTCCGTTGTACAAACCTTTAAAGTCACAGTTCTCAGCCTTAGCTATATATTAGCATTACCCAGGGAGCTTTAATTTTTTTTTTTTTTTATTGTAGGCATTACCTTAGACCAATTAAATCAGCAGCCTTGGGAATGGAAGCCAGTGTAGCCATGACTAGGAACCATGGCTTCAAAGCAACAGATTTGTCTTTGGATCACAGAGGAGGCAAGAACAAGAGGCACATGGGAATTCTTATAAGAGTCTGCTCTCGGCTTTCCCTAGCTTGAGCATCTCCTGGCTGACTCTGTTGTGTCACCTCCCAAGTACTGAGGTTAAAGGTGTGCACCACCACGCCTTCATTTAGTACATTCTTTTTTGAAATGTCTCGAGCATGATGCATCATGGATGGGCTTTTGTTTTGTTTTTAGTTGCTAGATAAGGGAATGGAACCTAGGACCTTGCTCTCGTCAGGCTGGTAACCCACTCACCTGAAACCCCAGCACACTCAGCAGGATGCTTTCCACAAGCTCACCGTTCTCCATCTAGAAAGCTGTCTTTGCCAAGTAAAATTATGGGAGGGAATTTTGTTTTAAATAAGAGAAATGCTTATTGTAGAAACAAGAAACCACAGTGACTCGTTGGTACGTTTTGTCCAAAGACAGTTGAAAAATATCTTTATGAGCTGGAGAGATGACTCAGGGGTTAAGAGCATTTGCAGTTCTTGCAGAGGACCCTCGATCAATTCCCAGCTGCATGGTGGCTCACAACCATCTGTAACTCCAGTCTCAGGGGATTTGATAACCTCTTCTGGCAGGCACACATAGGTACGCAGACAAAACACCCATACATATAAAATAAACATGAAAAGAAAAGAAAAACAGCTTTGTCTTTTAACACAATTTTGTGTACAATGTCTTGTTTTGTTTTGTTTTCTTTTTCAAGACTGGGTTTCTCTGGGCAGCCTTGGCTGTCCTGGAATCACTTTGTAGACCAGGCTGGCCTCGAACTCACAGCCTTCTGCCTGCCTCGGCCTCCCCACATGCTGGGATTAAAGGCATGGGTTGCCACACCTGGCTTATGTAGGAAAGATATTCAGAATTAAATTTCCTGAGCGCAGCCATGCAAAGAAAACATAATAATTTAACATAAATAAACATAAATAAAACATAATAAAAAATAATAATTTTTTAATGTAGAGCACAGGAAGTGCTGGAAGAATCCCCTTCCATGCGGCTATTTGCTTTAGCTTGATGTTAGACTAGAGCTTGTGTAGTTATGGGTTTAAGCGTCCTCACGGAAGTTTTTTCTTTCCATGTGTTTTTCAGGGTCTACAGTTTTTAACATCTTCAGAGGCATTTTGGAGGTGGTAATTGGTGTGGCCGCTGGATCTTTTCTTGGGTTTTTTATTCAGTACTTTCCAAGCAGTGACCAGGTAAAAAAAAAAAAAGCCACTGAGAAAATCAAGCTATAAAATTGTCAGTGGAAGAACCTTCTAGAACTCTATAACACCTTCCCCAGAGCTGGATGTGCAAGACACAGTTGAGGAGATGGTTTTTAAATTGCTGATTGCAGGACATAGTTGAGGAAAGGGTCCCCAATTTTAAATTGCTGATTGATCTGTTGGTGCTATGCCTGAGTTCGAGGAGAGCTGCCTACATGGGGTCGTAACACTGATCTGCAAAACAATATCAGTTACAAAATAATAGGATACACAGGGGAGTTGTGTAGTATTCAACTAAATCAAAATTTGTAATGGCTTTTTGCACCCAGTTTAGTATCAAAATACTTTAATAAGACTTCCAGCATCTTACTACGACATGGTAAAACATCTCTCGTCAAAGTTTTTTCTTAGTGAAATGCAGCTTGTTTCCCTTCACTCTTCTAACATTAAAAAATCAGGTAGAAGCGTTATCTTTAGAAAACATATTATTTTGAAATTTCAGAAGATTGATAATGGCAGTGGAAACCTAACCAACGCAAGTGTTGTGTGTAGAACATTGTTTTTTTCATCTGAATCCTAGGTATAGGACGATTGATTGTTAAAAATCAGTTATTCGAAATAATTGAGCTAATCAACTTTTTTTTTTTTCTTCCAGGGCAACCTTGTGTGGAAGCGATCCTTCCTGGTTCTGGGTTTTGCTGTGTTCGCTGTGTTCAGCAGTGTCTACTTTGGCTTTCCAGGGTCAGGAGGACTGTGCACACTGGTCATGGCTTTCCTTGCAGGCATGAGGTGGAGTGACAAGAAGGTGAACCTCATTGTCATTTCTTTTTTTTTTTTTTTCTTTTGGTTTTTAGAGACAGGGTTTCTTGGTGTAACAGAGCCCTGGACCCACTTTGTAGACCAGGCTGGCCTTGAAATCACAGAGATCTACCTGCTTCTGCCTCCCACGTGCTGGGATTAAAATAGTGCACCGCTATCTTTAGGTTGAAGATCTGATATCTTACCAATTGAGATATTCAGACTTATTTTTTTTATTGTAATTTCATGTACTCATGACTCTTTTTTGATAAAATTCTTTTCAGCTCTTTATTAATGTTATATCAGCAAAATCTTTCATCACAAGAGCTATTTTCTACACATACAGAAACATATACCCAGTGTCTATATGCAGGTGCTTTTTGCCCATATATACCAATCAATCTATGACTTAATGTCTTTGCTTAAAATACATTGTGGTCATATGATCATGATCTCTTCCTATTCCCTTATAGATGCAGAGCATCACACTAGATGGCTGGGCCACATTCGTTTTTTGAGACAAGGTTTTTCTGCATAGCTCTGGTGGTCTTAGAACTTGCTCTGTAGGCCAGGCTAGCCTCAAAATCAGAGATCCTCCTGCCTCTGCCTCCCAAGTGCTGGGAGTAAAGGTGTGCACCAGCACTGCCCATTGGGATCAGTTTCTTACCAATACATGCTAATTTGTTGTGCTTCTGTGATACAATAGTCATTGTTTTAGTAAATCCTTACATGTACCATATTTCTTAGACTCTAACACATTATCAGTTCTAAAAGCCATTCTTATTTGCATACTACTAAGAAAAATATTGACAAATTATGATATAAAATCTTAGCTGGAAAAATGTTTTTTAAAAATATCTTTACAGCAACAAAATACTATGTTTTCTAAGGTTCTTCATAGGATAAATCTCTAAAAGTAGGATTGCCTTAGGGAAGAGTATGATTGTGTATAAATTTGGTCATGTAAACTTGCTTGCACATTTATTTGGTAGTATCAACTTGCTCTTTTAGTAGGCTGAGCCAGTTTCTGCAGTGAGAATTTTTGGTTTCTTTAAAAACACAGATATGTTGTGGGAACATGTCTTTGTTCTAATCACAGGTATGGGATATGGGGCTTCTCCACAGTGTCCACAGCAGCTGATTATGATTTGCCTTGTGCTCTGTCAGGGGCGTTATTTTGACATCTGCAGATAGTTTCTGAAAGTGCATTGTAAGACCTGGGGTCTCACAGCTCAGGAGTTCAAGATCGCGCCCTTCCCAGAAACTCCCACAGACCACGGACTCGTTGCAAAAGCAAGAGGTTTATTAACCATTGCGCAATGGGGTCACCCCTGCCGGTCAGCAAAGAGTGGCACCGGGAGACAAAGGCTTTAGGTTTTTAAAAGAAAAATTGCGGGAGATTTGAAGTTGCAGTTTTGGCAATTTAGGATTGGATGAGGAAGTTATAAAGTAAGATAATTGGTTAGTCTTAGGTGCTCAAGCTTGGCCAGTCCTGCCAAGTGTGGATGCAGCTGCAATTGAATGTGGAGGTGGTTAGCTCATCTTTGAAGATAGGGGCTGCAGACTTTTGGCTGGAGGTCAAAAGCTACTCAGAAGGGTTGGTTTCTAAGAAACATTATCTCGAAGATAAGGGTCTGGTCCTTCTTTTTGCTGAGTGAAGGTCATTGCTTGCTCACTTTTTTTATATCTGTCCTCACAGATAGGGTCACATTTCTCCATTCTCTGGAAAGGTACTAAGAGGCTTTAGCTTAACCTGAACCTAAAACTCAAAACTATAGGCTTTAGAAGACATACAGGTTACAAAGTTAGTCTAACCCTTTCAGCATGACATTTGGAACTGTGGGGACTCTAGAGAGGGTATGTAAATGCCAGAGCCTTGAGAGGGGCTTCGGCAGCTGCGGCCTCTCCTGCTGCTGCTGCTGCTGCTGCTGCTGGTTGCTGTTGCTGCAGTTTGCCAAGTGGTCATGCACAAAGAGATGAGAAACAGAAATTGAATACCCTGATGGTGAAGATCAAAGTTGCCCCAAAGAGCTTGACACCTCATATCAGCAGGAACTAGTCTAATAAAAATGATGCCACCCTTCCCCTCTATCCTTCTTTCTTCCCTACCTAGTGTTGGGGGATGAAAGGGTAGAACAAGGGTGGAAGAGAGTAAGAAAGTCACTAAGTAGGGAATGCCGGCTACAAGTTCATTCCTAGCGATATTTTGTGAGAGGATCGATTTATGATGTCCTGGGGTATTTTACTAACGTGTAGATGAAATGTGTGTCCTGTTCTGCTCTAATTTATTTCTACACATGTGAATCCAGTCATCTAGGCATTTGGTGACAGCCTTTTTATACTTTGCTTTATACTTTATTTTTTTAATATTTTATTTAATATTTTTTTAATATTTCATTTGTTTTGTGTGCATGCATGTTCTATGTGAGGGTATTAGATTACCTCAAACTGGAGTTGCAGACAGTTGTGAACTGCCATATGGGGTGCTGGGAATTGAGGTTATACCATCTGTCTTCCTCTGTCGCTCTCCACCTTTCTCTTGAGTAGGACCTCTCACTGAATCTGGAACTCAGTGCTTTAGACAGACTGTCTGGCCGGACAGCTCTGGGAATCTGCCTGTCTCCACCCCTGATGCTGAGCTGTGCATACTGAGCCTGGCTTTTGCCTAGACACTGGAAGCTGAGTGCAGCTCTTCATGCCTGCACAGCCAGCACTCTACCCACTGAGCCGTCGCCTCATCCCTAATGTAAACATTTCAAGCTTTGACACATCATCAAACTTTGGTCTGGACCTGTATCTCATCCTTGTCCCGTAGTGTGATATAGAGTCTGTGAGCTTAGATTTCTCCAGCTAATCTCAACTCTACAAGTTACTAAAGTGTATAATCTTAAGTAATCAGTTTTTTCCTTAAATATGTAGGTCCCAGCTTGGTGGCAAGTGTCCTTACTCTCTGACCCTTCCTTCCAGCTCTGGCTTTTTTCTCTGAAAATAAAAAGTAGGGCATAGAGAGATGGCTCACGCGGAAAGAGCACTTCTATCTCTTAATTCCCACTACCCACAAAGTGCCTCACAAGTGTTTGTAACTCACTTGTAGGGGATCGGATACCTTCTTCTGGTCTCCACAAGTGCACATAGTATATGCAGGGAAAACACCCACACACGTAAATTAAATCTAAAATTTAACAAAAATAAAAATAATCTCACAGAGAAAAGCCATTATTTCTTCCTCTTTCAGTGATGCTGAATTATATTTGCATACTCTCCTTCACTCTGTAGTCACAGTGAAGCTAAAATTAAGCAAGCTAAAATTACTAGTCTTGGATTTTTTTTTTTTCCCTTTTGGACACAGGGTATCATATTGCATTCTGGTCTCAGTTTTACTGTGTAGCCAAAGCTGGTCTTGAACTCCCAATTTTCCTATCTCACAGAGCTTGGTGCTCAACTATTTGGGTAGATTTGTGACATTTGGCTAGGTTAGCTGTCTGGCCACAGGGTTCCAGAGATCCATCTGCCTCTGATTTCTTATTTATAGATTTCAAATTCTTATTCCAAATCAAACAAACCATTTTTTTGGCAGTAATAGCTCCACATAATGAAGTTTTCTTTACTTCTCTTTTAGTCAGAGGTGGAAAAGATAATTGCAGTTACCTGGGACATTTTCCAGCCCCTTCTTTTTGGCCTGATTGGAGCAGAGGTCTCTATTGCGTCTCTCAGACCAGACACTGTTGGTAAGAATTTCACAGAGATTCTTGGGCTAAAACTATACCTTCAAATCCTGATCTGGAATACCTTCAGTGGGAATGTGTTTCCCATTGTCTCAATTACATAAAGGATTAACTATGATCTCAGTCTTCAGAGAGGTTGGCTACAGAGTAATGCTTGTTAATCTAAGTGAAAAATCAGCCATTGCCTGCCCCTCAACATAAAGATGTTTATCTAGCTCTGTCCTAATAAGACCTAGAATTTTAAAGGTGCTAGTTAGTTCCGTAATGTTCTCGTAGGATGGAAATGTTTGGGATTTGTTTTTTGTTTTTTTTCAAGATTTATTTATTTATTATTTATACAATATTCTTCCTGCATGTGTGCCTGCCCGCCAGAAGAGGGCACCAGACCTCACTATAGATGGTTGTGAGCCACCATGCGGCTGCTGGGAATTGAACTTAGGACCTCTGGGAGAACAGTGTTCTTAACCTCGGAGCCATCTCTCCAGCCCCTGTCTTGATTGGCAGCACTGCACTTGCAGTTAGTTAATTTGTAAATATCGTTCCTCTCCTAACATTCCAGTATTCTTCCACTCATAGCAGGAATCCTATTCCTTGCCACCCCTGCTGAATTGCACATACTTCCCTTTGTTCTTACTCATCTCAAAAGGCATGTACGTGTAGATGTAGTGTCTGTGTGTCTGTGTGTGAACACAGGTGCACCCATGTACCAGTGCCTGTGTCTGGACATCTGAGTGTGTACACAGGTGCACACACCTACCAAGGCACGTGCGTGGAGGTTCTCACTTGCCGCTTTGCTGAAGTAGAGTCTTTCATGTTTCTGCCACTGTGCTTCACATCCCAGGCAAGCTGCCCTGCAAGCTTCTGAGTCAAAGCATCTCTGCCTCCCATCTGAGGAGTGCTGGGATTACAGATGAGTGCCACAGAATCCAGTTTTTCAAGCAAGTTCCAAGAGCTGAACTTGGGACATCAGCCCTATGGGGCTAACTCTTTAAAGCCATCTCTCTGGTCATTTCTTCTATCATTGGAAATGCCACCCATGGTTTTCTTCTCTTTAGAATTTGACAAGTTTCTAATGCCACATTTCTTAAACAGAGATCCTTTCTTTCGGATACATGCCAAACATAGGTGACGTTTGATGACATTGTGTCAAGTGAAATAAGATGGTCACAAAATGCAAGTGCTCATCACTCCACTTCCAGGAGCACTATGGAACTAGTAAGGCACAAACTAGCACTACGGGCCAGGGGTAGAGGGAAATAGGAAATTGCTATTTAATGGGCGTACAATTTAAATTTTGCAAATGAAAATGTCTGTTCACACAATAGCATGAATATTCTTAATGCCACCGACCTACACATTTAAAAGCAGTGAAGATGGAGGGCCATGGAAGATGGCTCAGCAGCTACAGGTGATTGCTGCACAAGCCAGGAGACCCGAGTTTGAGCCCCAGAGTCTACATAGAGGCAGGAGGAGAGAACCAGCTGCACAAGGTTGTCCTTTCCGTGTCTGACCACTACACTCCCTGTGGCACACAGAGACAAAGGCAGATTTTTAAGTTGGTGAACGTTGCACGTTAATATTATTAGAATTAAAATATACTGAAACTATAGATAGATGATAGATGGCTTTTCCATTTCACTTACCCGGTCAACTGCCACACTGCCTCCATTTCCCACCTTTGACCGTCTCAACAGCAGGGACAGCCTTGCGGTTCGTATCTGCTCCAGTCTCTTTCTTGGAACCCATCCATCCAGCTTCTACTCCACCACACAGCCGATGGTGCTTGTCAAGATTACCTAGCTAAATCCAGTCTTTGAACTACACTCTCATCCACGTTGGTTGTTACTGTCACTTTAAAACATTCTTCCACTGATGTCTACTGTTTTCAACACCCACAAGAAGGTGTAGGTGTATTTTTTATATTACTTTATTTTGATTCTTATGTCTACCTCCGATCTCTACCCTAATCCCTTCCAACACCCCAACACCTGGTCGGAGAAACAGAAGGTCAGTGGGAAAAGAGGTCGTTGAGACCTTTTTAGACTACTTCCTGCTGATTAGGGGCATTGAGTTCCTTGGGACAAGTCCAATTTTTGTCTCATCAGGATACCTCCAACTTCTTGTCTTTTTTCTCTCAACCACTTGACAAACCAGCAGCTCAACATCTAATTAAATTTCCTTTGTAAGTATTCAAATATGTGTGATTAAATTCTGGTTTTAAGCTGGGCATGGTGGTGCACATCTTTAATCCAAGCATTCAGGGAGGCAGAAGCAGGTGGATTTCTTGAGTTATGAGGCGAAGCTGGCCTACAGAGTGAGTCCAGGACAGACAAGGCTACATAGAGAAACCCTGTCTCGAAAAACCAAAATAAATAAATAAATAAATATTCTGCTTTTATAAAGGAAAGCTCTTAAACAATGGTATGATTGATCTTGTTCATTTATTTAACAATCCTATGTAACCATCTTGTATTTAATATTTTAACATTATTTCTATTGCTAGTATTTTGAAATGTAATTTCTCCTATCATCCCATTATTTCTAAAACCTGAATATTTCTTTCAGGTATTTGTGTTGCAACTCTTGGCATTGCAGTGTTGATACGAATTCTGACTACTTTCCTGATGGTGTGTTTTGCTGGTTTTAACATAAAGGAGAAAATATTTATTTCTTTTGCCTGGCTTCCAAAGGCCACAGTCCAGGTAGGTAATGATCACTAGAGAGGCATATCATTTTAACTGTTACCTCTGTGTGACACCATAAAATATGGAGTAAGAAGACTTACCTAAATTAGGAGGAATTAAACAGTTGATAAATGACAGAAATAAGTGAGTGAATACATGGTTGAATAGTTGGGTTTATGAAGATTTTACACTAATCTACTCTAAAAGTTTCATTTGTAATGGCTCATTTAAATTTCTTTGGGTCACCAGAGTAAAGGTAAAAAAATTTCCAAAAATTTCTCACATGACTAGAAAGCAGTGGTGACCAAGGGGAGTTGAACTTTTATCCTTCAAAACATTAAGTCACCTGAAAAGAACCATCTTAACTCTTCTTATCCCCATTACCCAAGAAAAAAGAAGGGAGGAAATGAGGAAGGCAGGAGGCAGGCAAGCAGGAAGTATCGAGTGAGCATGGCTCATCTTAATGTTTGGAAATCCTTCAATAGTAATATGATTGATGATAAATTATATTGTCCAGATCTTTATACATTATACATAATACATTATACATAATGAAAGAAAAAGTAATTGCAAAGAAATTCAGATTTTGTTTGTTTGTTTTGTTTTGTTTTGCTTTGTTTTTGAGACAGGGTTTCTCTTTGCAGCCCTGATTGTCCTAGAACTCTCCCTGTAGACCAGGCTGGACTTGAACTCAGAGGGAAATGCCACTAAGCCTAGCCTAAAAAGGAATTTAGAAATGCTTTGCAGGAGCTAGCATGGTGCAAAACTTCAAGATATTATATAAAAGGCTTATCGTTTGCTTATAACTTAATTTATATTCTTTCAACCATCTCTTAATCACTGTCATAACTAATATGATATAAATAGTTCTTATATTATTTAGAGAGTAATGATGAGGGAAACGTCTGCACATGACCACACAGATGCAAATTTCTGTGCTTTTTCTGAGCTGCAGTTAGTTGAATGTACAAATAAAGAATAGCTATAGAATGACTATTGTTTTTTTATGGAATTTTAGTTTCTCTTTTGTTGTTATATAGAAAACAAGGAGGCTAATATATGGGTGTGTATGTACAAAATATATATACATATGTGTGTGTGGTTCTTAGTGCCTTGGTCTGTGATCTCTTATAAAAAATATTTTTAAAGAAATATATTTCAAATCAATGAATGCATGCATGCCCTCAAACATACATACGCACATATACAAAACAGAACTGGGAGAGAAATAAATATTGCAATGCAGTAAGCGATGCTTTTGCCAAGAGTTCATAAAATGTTCCGTTACTTGTTGCACAGGATAACCCTAACCCATAATAACAAAGAGCCTAACAAGCAACAAAGGAACTGAATAGGTTACTTTTCTCTTTCTTTCCAGTAGTCTACATGGGCATTCCAGGGATGACAGAGTGATTGTCACTCTGAGCAAGTGCCTCTTATCCATAGTTCAAGTTGTGCTGCCACTGTCTTCCAGTGGGAGAGGGGAGAGGGATATGTGCCCAATCTATTCTGGATAACAGTCTAGGCCAGTATCTGATCTCCACTGATCACTCGGCAGCCAGGGCACAGATATGCAGTTAATCTAGTTGAAAAAGAATGAAAACATGAGATCTCTGTTTCATCAGCAATGTTTCATTTCATCAGCTGAAATCCAGGAATTCTGGCACAGAAGAAAGAAGGGGCACCCAGAAACCTATGGGCAACAAGAGTCTATCACTGTGTCACTGATATCCATTTTCTCTCTTATTAGCTTAGAAGCAAACATTGTTCTTTTTGGTATAAGGAGTTAACCAAACGGATTCATGTACCTTTCCCTGTGTGAACTAATATTACATTTGGCCTCTAAAAGAAAATGAGAACTTTCATAATACATTGCAATAGACACAAATTAAATAAAATACTTCACCAACTCCTGGGGCAAAGGATTCACCAGATCTCTAATAAATTTAACATCATTTTGAAGGCCTACCACTCCCATGGTTCAGACTGTTTTCAGAACTACTATATGCGCCAGAGAAAATAGGCTGATTTAAAATTTCACCCTCTTCTAATAAATACAACCTCCCCTTTAAGCTTTTTATTTCTTAAAGTGATACAAACAGAAACTAAACTTGACCTTAACCAAAAGACCAAGATGGGGTAAGTGTTTTCTTTATTAACAAAATTTTAAAGTTAAAATACAAAGCAAGCAGCAATTTCCATCTTTTGCAAGTGCAATTTATCTTCTACAATATTTTATTAATACTGTGAGCCTGTTTTTTTCCTAACATTTTGAAACGTACAGAGCTTATAGTACACGACTAATGTGTACCTGTGGCATAAAGAACTTACTCTCCATGGAAGGAGGGAGGCTTTGTAGATGAGCAAACCTACTAGAGTACACTTTGAAAGAAGGCCAATTTGATTTAGTTGAGCAACAGGAAAAGCCACTTGTTTTCTCAAATAATAAAATGTCAATTTTGAAACATGTGCTTGTTTCCCAACCTTGTGCTAAAACTTTCATAGGCCGCTATTGGGTCTGTAGCTCTGGATACAGCAAGATCACACGGAGAGAGGCAGCTAGAAGATTATGGAATGGATGTGCTGACAGTGGCATTTTTGGCCATCCTTATCACAGCACCAATTGGAAGCCTACTGATTGGTTTGCTTGGTCCCAGGCTTCTCCAGAAATTTGAACATCAAAACAAAGAGGAAGCTCAAGAAGAGAATTCTGTACAGGTTCAGAGGTAAGAAAAAGGTCAATTATAATGGCTAGAAAACTGTGTCCAGAATCTAATTGCATCAAGATGGAATTCAAAATACATAATGTTGAGGTTCAAAACGTATTAGAACCAAACACAATTCACAGTTCATAATCAAGGGAGAGGCCAAGGGCCTCTTCTGCTCCCTGGAGTTTGAGCTCAGTACTGTTAACTGTCAGTTTCATGATTAGCAACCTTGAATGGGTTTGGCTTCCTCTTCCTTTTTTACTTTTGCCACCAAAATGTAGTCTGTTGTCAGTTTCTGTCCTCACTCTTGCCTGTTCCCTTCCTGCCCACCTCGCTGCCTTTCTAAGAAGTGTTGAAACCGGTTGGTCTTACTGACATTTTAAAGTAGATGAAGAAACTTCATTGATACCTGCCAAAGACCAAAGGAAAACTACACACACACACACACACACACACACACACACACACGCACAAACACACACACACACACACTTCACTTGGTGGATGAAGCAAGTATTTTTATTTTTTCCCTACAGCTTATATTATCCTAGCAAAATCTTTTACACTTGACCCCACTACAAATTACCTTAAAGCCTTTTTTTATTATTATTACATTTATCTGGTGTGTATATAGGTCAGAGGACAGCTGACAGTTGGTTCTCCCCTTCCACCATGTAAGGCCTAGCAATGCAATTCAAGTTGGTATTTTTTTTATGACAAGTACTTACCTGCTGAGCTATTTTACTGGCCCTAATCTTTTAAAACAAGGGAGAAAACAACTTTCAATCTTCATAAACATATCCACATCATGCTGAAGGTGGAAAGGTGTTATAATGAAGAAAAAAAAAAAAAAGACAAGTTTTCATTGTCACTGAAAAAAAAAGGGGGGTAAAATTTGAATTAGCCCTTGTATTGGTCAGCTTTTTATAGTGCTCGCAAATTATGTGCAACAGCCCACTTATAAGGTAGACATTTTGAATTATAGTTTTAAAGGCTTCAGTCCATGGCTAGTTAGCGCCATTGCTTTTGAGCCTGGGGTAAGCCCGGCGTGGAATGTGTGGCAGGGGAGAGCTGCCAGATGAAGAAGAGTTAAATCTCGATTCCCAAATCCCTCCAAAGGCACGCCCCCAGGGATCTAACTCCTCCCACCAGGACCCACTTCCTGTAGTTTCTGAGGCTCCCAGGAGGTCTACAGGCTGAAGACCAGCCCTTTAGTTCTGTGGGCTTTGGGGGAACATTTCAACTCTAAGCCATTAAAGATAACAGATCTTTAATGGTGAATTTAAAGAGAGACAGGGCCAGCAAGGCAAGTCAGGAGGTAAAAGTGCTTGCTTCCTGAGCCTGACAACCTGAGCTGATGCTAGATCCAATATGGCAGAGGACAAGCACCATTCCACCAAATTGTCCTTTGACCTCCATATATCACGTTGTGGCATGGAAGCACCTGTGAGCATATGCACACACAATAAATACTAAGCAGATAAATGCGCTAAACACAATATAACATTCAGTAGTAAAGGCTGTTTTGTGTCAGGAAAAAGATAGAAAATGCACTTGTCCATTTAAGTAGTTGGTCTTTTTCCAATAATACTTGTTTTCATGTATTTTAGGAAGCCTGGAGGTTCTATTACAGAAGCCTGATGGACCATGTTCTCCATTCTACCTTCAACCAGAGTGACTGTATTTCCCTTTGTTTCAGATGAAAAATTTCCCATGAAATTTCATAAGCAAAAAAATAAATAAATAAAAAGTTTTATACTGCTAACAGTTCCTTGGGTGTCTTTTCCTGAGAGAGATTGGAAGATGAGCTACTTTAAAAAATGAAACATTCACAGTTTTGTTAAAATCTTGACACATTTCTTCTTAAAATATTTAAAAAATTCATATAAAAAGCAATGATTGTTTGTTTCTTTGAATTGGAACTCCTAATCAGGTATGGTGGCACATGCCTGTAATCCCAGCACTTGGGGAGGCAGAGGCAAGAGTATTGTTATGAGTTTGAAGCCAGCCTGTTCTACAAAGCAAGTCCAGGACATCCAAAGCTACACAGAGAAACCCTGTGTCAAAAAGCAAAACAAAGCAAACAAACAAAAAGTGGAACTCCATTGTACTTTTATGAACATCCAATACAGTAGTTATTATTTTTCTTTTTTAAAATCTGTATGGGCCAGGTGGTAATAGTACATGCCTTTAATCCCAGCACTCCGGAGGCAGAGGCAGGCAGATCTCTGTGAGTTTGAGGCCAACCTGGTCTACAAAGGGAGTCCAGGACAGCTAGGGCTACACAGAGATCCCTGTTTCAAAAAACCAAACCAAAACAAAAAAACTATGTGGCATGAAAGTGAAAGTAGACCAGTTTAAGGGAACAAGGAGGACTAATGGGAGGTGGAGGGGCAGAAAGCAGAAGAGTGATGGGTGGGGACACATGCCACTATACACACATACGAATGTTTTAATTCAAAAGTTAAAAACATACTTGAACTTTAACAAAAGCTGAAACCATGAAAAGCATGAGAAAAGTAGGAGATATTGGGATTTAAAATAAGAGACATACTATTGCTTAGGTGAGAACAAAACACAACTATAAAATTTTTTCCAATTAAAAATTTCAATTTAGTGTAATACAAATCAGAAGCCCAAAGGACTTTTTTTTTTCTAATAGAACAAGAATAGTTAATAGAATCTATCTCAAGTACAGGTGCTAAGCAATTCTTACCATATTTCCAGATGTTCTTCAGTTTGTTCAAAATAGTTGAAGGCTATCACTAATTTTTTTTTTTGCTATCACTGTTTCTATGCACACACATCGTTGCCCATGTGTGATGTGTCTGATACACAGAGTTCTCACCCTAATTTATTCTAAATGAGTTTCTTCCAGTACTGATTCTCTGAGACAAGACACATTTAGACAGTTCTTTCTTTCATTTCCTCATGGTCAAAAGCACTTGTGCAATTTTTTTTTACACTTTTAACACATGTTTAAGTTTTCTTTTTGATATCATAATCGAGTTCTTAAGGGCTTGTTCAATTTTTTAAAATGTATGGACAAACAGATCCAAAACGTATGGACAAACAAATAGCCTACGGATGGACACACTCAATGGCAGTAAAAAAGATCCTGAGATCTTTTTTTTTTTTTTTTTTAAGGACAAAGGTCTCGCAGTGGGGAGAGGACAATCCATCAAATATTGATGCTAGACACCTGGACACCACAAGTGTTTCTTAAGGTGAGAGTGACATGCTCACGTGGTGCTCAGGAGGCAGAGATGGGAGGATGATGTGCTTTCTGCAGCCCAGGACCTGCCTGGCCCACACAGCACGAGCCCATCTTAAGAGACAAGATATGTCACGGACATAAATGTAAAATATGATGATGAAGACAGCACAGAACATACACGTCACCTTAGGTTAGGCAATGGCTTTTTACTTAAAACCAAAAGAACAGTCCATAGGATTAAACATAAACACATCAGACTCTTACTGTTCGGTTCTCCTCTCCAGAGACTCTGGGCTGTGCTGGGGTGGCTCAGTAGTTAAGAATAGTGGCTGCTCTCATAGAGGACCCTAGCTTAATTCTCAGCAACGACACAGTCTCATAAATATCATTAACTCCAGTCCCAGGGACTCTTTTACCTCTGTGGGCACCAGGCATGTATGTGGTTCAATACACACAAGTTGCCAAAATAGCCATACACTGAAAAATAATAAAACAAATACTTTTTCAAAAGTTTGTTGTTTTTAAATAAGATTAAAAAAAAAAAAACCACAGACTGGGATGAGAATGGTTTAGATACTCAACGCTCAAAAGGTATACAAATTATGGATAGGATGGTAACATATCATTAGGGAGTTACAAATTAAATAATAAAACTATCACATACACATATCACATCATTATGTTCTTAGTTAGAATGGACACTTGTAAATAGTAAATTCTGGCAAAGATGATAGGGATACAAAGTGATGTGGCCATTTTGAGAGCAATCTGATGGTTTCTTAGCACTGATTGGCTCAACATTATATACTCAAAGGAGTAAAAAAGTATGTATGCAAAAAGCTGTTCATTTTTGTCTCTAGTCTTCATAACTGTCAAAACTTAGAAATAATCAAAACACCCTTCCACGGGTGAATGGATAAACCTCTACATGGTACTACTAAGCAACTGTTAAAAAAAAAGAAGAAAGAATTTAAAAAGAAACTAAAAAGTACAGCAAAACAGATGGATGGATGGATGGATGGATAGATGATAGACAGAGATAGATAGAAAAGTAGATAGATAGATAGATAGATAGATAGATAGATAGATAGATAGATAGATAGATAGAAAAGGTCGGGCTAGGGATTCAGCCTAGCTGGTAAAATTCTGGACACTATGTATGGATCTGAGTGCCTCACATACTTTGACATCCATGATTATGAGAGAACAGAGTTTTGTTTTAATTTTTAAAGACCTATATAAATTCCCACATACAGCATACATTGTATATTATGTTAAGGGTTTTTTTGTTTGTTTGTTTGAAGACAGGGTTTCTCTCTGTATCCTTGACTGGTATGTTAAGTTTTAATTGTCATGTTTAGAACAATCACTCGAAGCTCTGAAATATTTCGTTTTAGCCAACATTTTCTGTCTGTAAATAATGCTATTTACCTGTTCTTCAGGGATGGTAGAGGTGGTTACTATTGACAGAGGTGATTTGCTGGCAGTGTCTAAGAATTCCTATGTAATTCGACTAACAAGAAAGATAAAGAAATGAAAACAGTGATGGTTATATCCACCTGATCAAGAGTTGGGTTTCAAGTCCGTAAACCTAATGTGAGGAAACCACCTATAATCCCAGTACTTGGGAGACCAAAGCAGGAAGCTAGTGAGACCTGTTTCAAAAATAAAACAAAATGAAAAGACGTTAACCTTGAAATAATGTTAAAGGAAATATTAAAATAAAACCCATGCGATTAAAGATTTGAGAGATTTACTAGGAAAGCAAAAAGATTCTCCATTAAGTCCATTAAGAGTACCGCCCCCTCGGGCCCCGCCCTTCTGCTTCCGGCAAATGCCAGCCCTGTTTCCGTCCTGGAGCTTGAGTGCTTGGTTCTCCTGACGCCCTGCCCTGCGCGTGGCTTCTGGGACGACGGTTGCTGAGTCCCTGGGCCGGTGAGAGTTGCTAAAGGAATTGTAGGTACGGCCAGTTTTCCCCATTCTTCTGCTCCAGGCCCGTGGGTACCGCTCTCACTGTCACCCCCTGTTCCTTCGCCAAGGAAGGCCTCCTTCCTTCCCTTCAGAGGGAGCTCTCTCACATGGCTCCATCACACCGGAAGCCCTCTTCCGTTTTCTTCCTGATTCATTTCTTTCCGCTCTTCTTTCCAACGCATGTCTCTGTTGTTTCCTTCTCTCAACAGTCCTTGCAAATAAGAAAGAAGAGATCTTTCCATCAAGACTGAAAGCAAAATTAACCCACCTGCCCGATGCTATTTATGCTAATGGTGAATCCGGGGAGATGAAGCTTCCTGCGTACCCGTAATTGCAAAAGTGTTCCAGGATTGGTTTCTGATTGCCAAAAGGCTCTCGTTCCTTCCCTCACACCCCTGACCGAGATTCCTCTTGGCTTTATCACAGTGGACAAGCACTTAATTAACATCCATGTTTTTTAAGGATTAAGGACTGTAGTTGCACCCACAGTGTGTCAGAAGTCCTGATGGTGCTATATGGTGGAGCTATTGAAATACTACACTGTTAAAATGCCCTAAAAGCTTGTCGCCGTTAGGTTGTTTCCTGCCAGAACGCAAGGTATTTTAAGACTGCAGACACACTCCTGAAAAATCAGGTAGGTTGAGTAATTTTGATAGCATCAAAAATAATGCTAATTGTCTTTTATTTGTGGTTGTTGCATGTTTAATAGTTAGAAATTGGCCAGTCATATAATATATATATATATATTTACTTTTGCACACAGTGCCTCAAACCCTGTGAAAGATCAGATTGATGGAGAGGTGCTGTTGGCCACCTGTCATACTTCTGACTTTCCACAGGGATACATTGAATTCAGTGAATCAGATGATTGCAGAACAGTACAAAAAAAATATTTTTTTAATACTTACTATTACATGTGGCAAATTCATTCTCCGTTTTCATTATCACACCTATAAAAGGTACATACAGGAGTCGGGAGGATCGTGTATAAAGTGCCTATTGTACAAACAAAAGAATCAGAGTTTGAATCCCTGTCACCTGCATATGCCAGGCATTGTACGGTGTTCCAATAACCCTAGCTGGAGGGAGAAAGACAGGTGGCCAGTCAGTCTAACCAAGGGGGTGGACCTGAGTTCAGTGAGAAAGCCTGGCTCAAAAAATAAAAGGTAGCAGCTAGGGACATGGCTCAGTGAGTTTTCAATGTAAGCATGAGGACCTGAGGTCAAATCCCTGGATCCCCCAAAGATGCTCATCATCCCTTGCAATTAGGAAAAAGGCATAGGGTATCATCTACCTACCTACAAACCTATTTACCTAAAACTACAGTTAATACATATAAGTATATATACAATATACATGTATAGGTTAATGAAAATGTCCCATCTGGGATAACAATGCGCCCCCAAGAGCCATAGACTGTCTAACAAAAACCCCAACACCAGACAGGAGAAGCCCTCCATTTAAGTTGTTGATCAGGGTTGTCCAGGACACTTCCACAACATTATAGGCTCTTGCTCTTGCCCTTGCTTGCATCCTAGAGGTGGAAGTTGAGTCCCTATTGGCTCAAGA